TAAAAATAAACCTGAGCTTTTCTTTCGAATTTTGTATATCTAATAATAATAATATTATTAATTAATAAATAAAAAAAAGTTTAACATACCAGTTTCAACAGTGCCACGATTTTAGCAGTATCGTATTTTTCAATAGCTTTTCTTGCTTCATATTTCTCAGCAAAACCCATGATGGAAACTTTTTTTTAAACAATTTTTCACATGCCACTTTTGTGTAATATTTAATATTACTTAAAACTTTTTTATTAATAATAATATTACTTACACTTTTTTTAATAATATTATTACAACTTGGTAACGCCACCACATGCAAATATATAGCTATATGGAAAAAAACAATAAATTTGTTAAAAAATATAATATATATTTATATGAATTAAAACATCCAATATTAGTAAATATTAATTCAATTAAACTTTAATGTCATACATAAATAGAGTACATTTTAAAATTTTGATTATTATTTGTTTACCTTAAATGTGTTGGGCGTCGCCTCTTTGTTTCACTTGTAATTACGAATTAAATTTTAAATTTCCATTTTAAGAACTATTTCATACAAAGTGTATTAGATTCACAAATCTGTATCACAAATAATAAATTGTAAAGAAAAAATAATTATTAATCTCAAGCAATAAATTTGAATTAAATGTTGTCAGCTATAGCAATTCATATATGAACTCACAAAAGATAAGAAATTTTGCGAAATGTATTGGTGAGCGAAATAAAGGCAGTCGCGGAAATTATATCTCTGCATAAAAATTGATAAGTACAAGTACATGTGTAATATTTATTTATAATGTGACTAATTATTTATAAGTGTGAATAAAACATACATACACACATACATATCAAAACTCGTTTTATTTCGAAATTTCTGTTTTGGTGTCTTTTGTTCCAACTTACCGTAAAATCAGATTTTGTGCTAAAAAGTCGTATGTAAAATATTCTAAAAAAACATGAAATCATGCATATAATGAACAACTTTGTATGATATACTGCCTAAAATTTAGGCAGTACATCGTACCGTGTAATATGGAAACCGTGCTATAAGAAAATCGGATTTAACGTACAATCCGTTGTATAATAAATTCCGTTGTTAAATGGATTTATAAATTTGAAACCGCTGAAACCGACATCGTACCCAGCAATGTTCTAACCTTGAATAAATAAACATAAAGGTATATGTATATACAAACATAATATAAGAGATAAAGCAACCAATATTAAATCGGAAGGAAAATTGTATATTAAAAATGCCATACTTACTTATCACTCTCAGTTATAAAGGACCAAACATCCTCGTTTCTTCGACAACAGGTCATGCGGCTCGTCGACCCGGATGCGTCGGCGCCCGGGTCGGCGCACCGAAGTTATGCCTACAAAATGCAGGATTGGGGTAGTTTCATAATTGCCATTATTTCAACGAACATAGACCAACAATGCTGCATTTAATGATAAGAACTTGAAAATAAAGTATAAAATTCTCCTCGGTTGGTTGAATTCCTAACCATAATATTTTTTAAAACAACTTGTCAACTAAGCAAACTAGTAAATTTGATTATTTTTATTCTTCAAATGTTTAATTATAGTACAAAATTTTTTTAGCAATTTCCCTCAAGGCTTAAAAAAACGCGTTTCACAAAATAAATTTCATTCAAAACAAATTCAGCGCGTTAAGTGAAGCACCACTGCATATAATAAAATAAATACTAAAAATAAATTACAAGTAAATAAATAAAATATATGTATGTCATCAATATAATACTTTATTGTCTATGCAATATTTCAGATTGGATAAACAATTCTACATTCTTGATATATTTAGAACAACAAGTTTTCACAAAATTTACATTGACTTGCAAATATATTTTGTCATAAAATATGTGCTCACATCAATAACAAATGTATTGATGAACACTTTCATCTTTAAATTACTTTTCTGGATCATTGTTCCAAAAATTTTACAACACTTAAATGTTCAATTATAAGGCTAGAAAATTTATTATGTTCAACAAGATAGCTCTTATAATATATGATTGTTCATTATTACACTGAACATCGACGTATTATTTTTAAAAATCCCATTATGAAACGATAGGGATATCCGAATATTGTGAATGTATACAAAGCGAATGGGGAATTTAACTTTACATTTGCTAATCTAAACATTTGAAAATCCATCTTTATTTTAGGTTATTTATTAATAACTGGCTACTTTAGACATGAACTATAATTATTTTGCATTTAAAGCGTAGTATCAATGGATCATAAATAAAAATAAAAAAAATATGTACACAGCTTTTATGGATTTTATAAATAAACCTTGCAAACATGTGCTTTGCTTCGTGATTTGTAAGAAAATGGTGTATGCAAATTATTTAAAGAAAAAATAAATTTAAATAGAATAAGGTGATGAATTCACAAAACTAACTTGGTTTCAACATTTTTATGACAAATCAGTAAATAAAAATGATGAATTAATTATCTTATGTTTTGAATAAAATGAAGAGTTATAAATGATAATCATTGAATAACATAATAAGTATCGTATGGAAACGTTCTTAATATGTCTAGAGTCAGAAAGAACTAAATAATATGAAAAAGTGAGGAAATAGTAATATAAAAGTAGTACAATAGTGTTGCAATTATGTGAACGCAAATATTTTTAAATAGAATAAAATTATATATGTTTTCCATAAATATACTTAGAGCAATCCTGAAATCAAAACAACGTTAGAACATTTTGCACCACTTATTATATAATTTTAGACTAGTGAAAAACTCGCCATAAATTTCGTAAGAATTACTATTGCGATTTGTATTTACTCTCAAATTATACATATATTAATTCTAAATTTACATTTCATATTTATATTTATGTGACAGAATTATTAATTATAGATACAATAAATGCATTTATAAGTTGCATACATGTATTAGGCAAAAGACAATACTTATTCAAAAATTATCATTTCATATTTATATATATATATATATTAGGGTGGTCCTTAAAATGATCATTTTCGAATTTCCTTGCTCCCAGGGGCTCAAATGGTTCCAAATTGATAAAAAACAATTCTCTGAAATTTTTAGCTCTTAAAATTAACGTTTAGATAGAGCGCAATTCAATCAAAGTTTTGTATGGAAATAGCATGGAAAATTTTTCAAAAATTTTAAAAATGTTTTTTAGATGTAATTTAGCAAACAAATGAATGAATAAAACTCATTGATTTGTCGCTAAGTTATACCTAAAACATTTTTTTTTAATTTGCAAAATTTTTTCCATGCACTTTCCATACAAACTTTGATGGAATTGCGCTCTATCTAAACATTAATATTAAGAGCTAAAACTTTCAGAGAATTGTTTTTTATCAATTTGGAACCATTTGAGCCCCTGGGAGCAAGGAAATTCGAAAATGATCATTTTAAGGACCACCCTAATATATATATATATATATATATATATATATATAAATACTTTGATATTTGCGATAGGCATACGGAACATATCTTTGTTTAGAGAGAATAGGAAGTGATTAATTATTTTTGGGCAAGTAAGCTATATTTAAATATTTTAGTTCATCATAAATCATCATCTGCCGCAATTTTCAATCCGGCGTGTAAATTATCAAACAGTAATTTTGACTAAAAGATTTCCTACGTGTTTGATTACACCTGAGACATTAAATGTCTTGCCGCAATTCAAATCCCAAGAATTCTAATAACAATACATATATTTATATTTACAACAAAACGCTTATGAATATCTTAAAAATAACGCTGTACAAAAAATTATTTGACCAGAATCCAAAATAATTCTTAACACATTTTCAAAATTGTCTAAATGGTTTGAATTTAATTTAAATATCAGACAAGTAAAACAACACTAAATTTTCAAAGTAAAACATGATATTTGACAACATACATATCATAATATTGTATGTTGAATTTCACAGTGAAACCGATATTGAAGAAAAGTTTCCAATGAAAATTTGTACTCATACTTATTAGTATGAGTAATAATTCAAAGTACATAGATTTCGTAAAGTACGTTTAATGAAGGATATTCCAATGGTTTAAATAAAATAAACATATAACGTTTCATAACTTTTGAGTAATAATTAAAAAATATTATTAGTTTTGAAGTATTTCAAGTCGTTATTTATGAAAGAGATAGGTATGATGATGATCAGCCTCCAGTTTTTAAAACTGATGCCGAATTAGTGGTCACGGACATGTGGTGATATTTTTAATGCTTTTGAATTCAATGCATGTAATTATTGTTTTTCGCACCTATGATATCGGCCTTATAAATTCTTCAATTTTATTTAGAAATATTGTAGATGTTGCAAATGCTAACACTTGATCGTGTGTTCAAGTATTAAAATTGTACGCAAAATATTTTCTTATTTTAAAATCTACGTTTATATATGCGCACAAGCATACCTAGTAATGACTTCTATCAAATGTTCTATACTTATTTTTCAAATCATCTCGCAATCAAACAATGATATTGGAATGTAGCAGTGATATAATATTTTGAAATGGCCAAGTCATATTCGAATAATTTAACAAACAAAATCAGAACAGCTCATCTTTTTCAAGAATTAAAGAAAACAAAACATACTTCAATAAGTTTTATGAAGGAATTTTTACTTCGATTATAAACATGGCCTTTTCGTGTGGGTTTATATTATTTTTTTGTGATATATTAACGCTATGAATACAATTATGCTCGCACATTTTGATAAATACAAAGATTTTGCAAGGCGATTATTTTTCTAAAATTATCTTACTTTTTATGACTGGTTTTATTATCATATTACACTAATAGTAACCGATATATAAATTAACTATACATTTATTTCCTTAATTATCTTTGTTGTACAACGATAAAAACATTCATAAGGTATGATATTATTTCAATATTTGTATGATTTGTGATAAGGTGTGCAAGTAGATTTCTCGAAATTTGAAAAATCTTGTGATACTCTCAATCAAATTATCAATCTCAATCATTTTGCTTATCTAATACTGAAAACGAAACATTTGTACGAAACGTAATGAAATGCAGGGGTCTCTACAATCTCATGAAATAATCTCCAGCTTGTAAAGGTTCTATATAACAACATAAATATATTTTAAAATTCTACTATACATATATATCATATATACACAAGCGCGGAATGGCGCGATCCTACAAAATACATAACACATACGTTCAACTAATTCAATGACAATAATAAAGAAATCTTATAACGAGACAAAAATTGTACAATAATATGACAAACCTATCACGTTACCAGCTACGACTGTTTCTCCGCTCGACTAAGGGCCAGGGCTAGTTCGAGATCCTCTTGTTCCTGCCTGACCCTTTTTAATCTCAATTCTTCGGCCCGCCGGCTCTCGGCTGCCGCCCAGGCCAGTTGTTTCTCTTCCGAAATAATCGGGGCGGAAATTCGGCCACTGGCTGTATTGTCTACCATCAATCTCGAAGAATCCAATAAGGGCCTAGGCGGTTCTGATGCTCTTCCATCGTTCACCGTTTGGTTCATGTTACCATCAAAGACATCCAAACCGAAAAGATCTACACTCGAAGCGTTTTTGTTTTTTGCGTTAGAAGCAGCAGTAGAAAACCAATCGTTTGAAGAAGAAAACGCATCGAAATTATTTATTACAGAATTATCCGATGTCTTGTGTTCGTTATTCAATTCATCCATAAAAGGATCAGCTATATTAGCTAAATCTTCATATCTATAGTCCCTAAACGGATCGTCTGTGAAGTCTTGAACTTTAACAGCCGCTGGTGGTGCCTTGTCTAGCCCTTTATTAGGCTTCGTGTTAGAGTTGAATGCCGATGTTATTTGCTGAAGAGTTTGTGATATTAATGCAAGGGATTTTTTTTTTCAATTTTTTTCGTATTGATAATTTTTATTGGTACTTATGTAGATCATATCTATTTATATATTTATATGTATATTATTTCTACAGTCTATCCGTAGTGAGTGTATTATTTTAGTAGTTAGTACGATGTATTAAATAGGTGTTATTTAGTGTTAGTCTCGAGATTAAGGCTGAAATAGAATTATGAAATTTTTTGTTAGCCATGATAGAGAAGCAAAGAATGTCCAGAAATTAAAATAATTTATTAAAACACAAATTAGTACTCATCAATAAAATTGGTCATAAATAAGAAACACTTTTTTACCAAATTTCTGGACAAAGAAATTTTGAAGAACATGCAAATTATCGTTTTGTATCACAACAATAACAAACTAAATTCAAACGTTATTAAAAGCAAGCTGTTAGTATAAATTATATAAAAATACACAGAATATGATCAGATAGAAAAGATGTTATTTTGGTCAATCTCAAAAACTAACACTAAACAAGCATTCAATTACTAACATTCATTAAATTAGAATGAACTACTTTCTCTAGTAGCATGCAACAGAAAACATTAATGTAACTGAAAAGGGGTTTTTACTAAAAATTATATGCAATACTAAAATGAAAGACATGTAGGAATAAAAAGATATGATCATAATTAAAAAAATAACTTAAAATTTACACTAAACATCACATTGAACATTAAAATTGATAAAAGATAATATGTTAATCATGTTCACATGTAAATCAATTGAACTGATAAAGATAAATTATTTCTACTTAACTTTTTAAGAATAACGTAGTATTGTATTACCTATTTTTCATACTTTGAATTCATTGGATATTATAACTGAGACATTTTAAAAGCCTTTCGTATTTAGTAGGTAATACAAACATAAAAATCGTTCCTCCATTTTCTTATTATAGAAATGTCGTATTTTTCTTATTATATAGGGACTAATACATATCTACTAGTAATAATGATTATTCATTAACATTTTTTTTTAACATTTAAAATTGTTAACAAATAATTATAAATGAAAATAATATTAGATAAATTATCTAATTCCTCTGTTTATCCATTCAATAGTTTATTGAATGCCACTTTAGTTTGAGATGTTTATATGGAGAAACGATATTTTGAGAAATGCTATTGAGACAATAATGACATAAAGCAGCATTCATAAAAAATATTACCTTGCTATCGAAGTCCGCAAAATCGGCGAAACTATTGGTGAGCGCCTGCTTCGGAGGCGGTGGTCTCGCGGGGCCTTGTTTTGGTGGTGCTGGTCGCGGTGGTGGATTCTTACTCTTTTTGGGAGGTAAGGCCGGGCTCGGACTCTCGGCTCTTGTTGGTGCATGTAGAACCGCAAATGGATCGCAGCCAAATGCGTCTTTATCCTCCTGTGAAGATAGCATTAAATAATGAAATATTAATACAAAATTGTTCATTATGTCACAAATAATAATTTAGGATTGTTAAATTTATATTTTATATTTTTTTAATAATCCTTACATCTGGCTTGGCAGTTGCTGTTTTATCGCCGAATGGGTCATTTTGTTGAGAAGCACCGAATGGATCGTTCGTCGGTTTTGTAAAAGGATCGCTGCCAAAAGCATCTTGATTTGCAAATGGATCGCTGTCGAAACCGTTGGTTTTAAACGCTTTATCATCTAAAAGATACAATTATGTTAAATTTATATCATTAAAATTTTAAAATCTTCCAGCTTACCTGCTGCAAATGGATCTGGAGTACTAAACGAAGTTTGATTTGGTTTCATACTGAAAGGATCATCCGACTTTGTAAATGCATCATCAGCCTGGCCATTAGTTTTCACAATAGCATCGCGGAATTCTGGTCGAATTTCAAGTGCAAATTGTGGAACAGATAATGGATCACCGGAAGCTATAGCACTTTCACAAGCTTTTACTGCATCGCTTATTTGGCGTTGGTTCTCTTCTAATTGCGTTATTTGAGCTTTACTCTGTTGAAGTAAAATACCATAAAATTGTAACATTACAGTTAGAATACATTTATCTTACTATTAGTTAGACAACTTATAAATTGCTCTAGAAAAATAGTGTTACAATAAATAAAATTATAATTGGATATGCAAATAAAGTGACCTGGCTGAATTCAAGCTGCATATCTTGTAATTTTTTAGTCAGTTGTTCAAGTTGCTGTTGAGCAATATCTTGCTGCTCTTGAAGTTTCTGTTCTTCTTCCTTCAGCCCCTGCAGTTCCTGCTTTTTAGACGTTAATTCACTTTCTTGAGCCTGCAATGTCTCCTCCTGTTGCTCAGCTTGCGTTCGTAATTTGTCCACCTGAAATATGACCGACAAATGTAATATTAAAGTTAGAATAATTGAAACCAAATAACAACCAACAAACAACTATATAACTGGTATTCAATGATACTCTCACAACACTATATAAGAGCAGATAGAAACACAAATAAAATATTACATTTATGGAAAGAGTAAAAGAGTTTAGTTTTCAGAAATAGAAATGTCATCAAAATCTCATGCTTTTTTTCATTTTACATTCGTAAAATAATATAGAATAAATACAAAAATTATTATAAAGTATTTTATATAAATAGTAAGAAAAGTTACATTTCTCAAACCAAGTACAAAATAATCAACAAGAAATCAATAAGACTCAAGGTACCCAATATCAACACTTTGTGAACGTTATACAAAATAATCTCACCTCAAATTTTACCTTAATGTTGAAACCATTTCGACTCACACAACCACTGAATTTCTAATGTTTTAATTGATATAAAAAAAAGAAATCAAATTGATTGCCAAAAATGAAAAAAAATATTTTCAAAACAACACCAATAAAAATAGATGAATTTCATCTTCTGTGTCATATCAAGAGAACAAATAAGATAAAAGAACATTCGAAGAAGACCATCTTCACAGTTCACCAAGTAACTAACAGAACACATGCCAAATTGAAAATTAGTGCATTTTACCAAGGAAACTCAACTCTAATTCGTGAACAACTCACCTTTTCTTGCTCTAGTGCTAATTCGGCATTCACTTCTTCCAATTCTTTGTCTACGGCTGAGCACTAAAATCAACATGCCAAATTCGAACTCAAATGCCAAATCAAATAATAAACAAATTAATGATTAATTTTATGGTTTTGATTTTTTAACTCAGTATCAAAATTTAGCACACTACTAAAAATTATGCAATATTATAATACAACACAAACTACACATATGTTGCAAATATGTTGTACAAAACTTTTATCACTAACTACGGCACATAAAATATTTAAAAAAATAAGCATTTAAAATGTGAATTTGTAAGATGAATCAAACTATTATTAATCTAAAATCAAGCAGTCATCAAACATTACCTGAGCTTTTAAGTCATTCAAGCGCTTTTGAGCTTCGCCCTTTTGGTTCTCTAATTGTTTGAAAGTAGCAGCTAGAGTATCCAGTTCACTCTGCAATAAATGATAATTTAGAAATAAATAATAACAATGATATGATTAACAAATACCTGTAAACTTTTAACTTCGCCTGTTTTAACTTTGATATCGGCCTCTTTCTGTGTGATGTCAATTTCTAAAAGTCTTCTTTCTTTGGCCAACTCATCGATATCTTTACTTATCATATCTAATTCAGGATTCGAATAAACCGAAACAGGAGCAGTTTCCTGTAATGTAAATAAACGTATCATGAAATCATAATTGTTTAAATTTAATTTCTTCTTGAAGGTGCTAACAATATACATAATAATAAAGCAATTTCAATGGTCGCCAATGCGCAAATTTGTAATTTTTTACTACTAAATTTCCAAATTTATTGATTAACATCAAAGGTCCAATGCATTGTAACCAGAACGAAATAATTTAGATTTGATATATAATTTGTTAAAATTAAGTCTATTTAAGATAAAGATTTGGAAAAAATAAAATTTAAATCAAAGATTTAAAATCTCATTTTAGGTGCATATAATCATAGGTAAACAAGTATAATGCATATAATGTAATTTAATTGCACAATTGCATAAAGAATATACATAATAATTATTCATTTTCAATGTAAAATCTTTCATGTTTTTACTACTATGACTTTACTTTTCAAATTTATTGATTAGCACTTACACATTGTAGTGAAAACAAAATAATTTAGACATATGATATAAAATAATTTTTGAATAAATGAAATTAATTCTACTACTTAACTTGCTAGTTATTTTGGGGTACTATAATGCTCTCGGATTTAAAAGTAAATTTAAACAACTAAAAGAACTTGCATCAAAATTCCAGAAAAAAGAAAAAAATAATTGGATTGTTATCGACGAAAATGAAAACGATTACCCAGGTACGAATAATATAAATCTAAATTTTGTTACTATTATTGAATATAAAAATATATGTACATAATAAAATATATTTCGTCAATAACCAGTGTTAGTATTAGTTATAATTTTTTTTTACTAAGGATCTGACAGGGATAAAGTAGATCTGCAAAAATTACTTTGGGAAGACTATTACGAGTGCCTGCGAAAGCGAGCCGTTGCAATAAAAAAATACGATTATCCTGCCCCCAAAGCGCTTTTCTTTTTAGATGGTTCGACAATCAAGTAAGAAAAACTAAAATTTAAGACAAAATAGTAATCCGGTCAACTTATTCTTTAGAAATTAGGTAAAAAAAATAAGTACACAAATAATTATTGCAGTTTGTCGTGCGATGTATGCTTACCACCAGACAGGCAACATGAAAAAGAATCCATAACATGGTGGATCGGTTCATTGAAGAACGATAAATTAAGATTAATTGCAGAAGATGAAAGTACTTCGATAGGTATTAAAGATAAATCACTCACTCTTTACAACATTCAAGTGCAACAGTCTGGCAGGTAAATGTATAAAATATTTACACAATCCAATTGAGATATCAATGATACAAAATAATTTTGAGAACGATATATAGATAGAATAAAATTATTACAATTTAGGTATCAATGCAAATTAGGTAATACACCTACTGCTCCTTATTTTGTGAGCGTGGCAGATGTAGATGAATCATTGATGCTGGTATTCATCAATAAATCATATCTTTTTCAATTCAAGAGCATGCCTGTTTACGAATTGTTTTCAAAATACTAGGTAAAACCATCCACAGCCAAATCAGGACCATACGAGTACGAGCCTGAACAAGTGACGTTATATGGAGGATCAGAAATAATGGTTTCTACGTCATGGTCACCGTGGGAACCGTGCTCAAGGTGATCCTTTAGCCTTGAGCTTTTTAATTAATTAATTAATAGAATGAGAACAAAATAGTAAACTCAATCCACTTAAAGCGTGCATCTTTTATTATTGTTAAAAAAAATACAGGAAAGAGTATTGATCAGCTTTTTTAGTGATTTTTATTAACATTTCAATATCTGAAGATAAAACTATTTTCAAAGGTGCGGGCAAGTCGGCAAGCGTAAACGAATTGGATTATGTCATGTAAGGTTGGAAAAATTTGAACCTATATCAGAGCACGTGGTAACTCATTTATTTCATTTTTACATTCAATATACCTACGAAACATTAATATTTATTTTGGTCTTAGGATGAAATGCCTCATAATGAAAGTAGGTCAAAAAGGAAGAAAAAGATGAAACTATGGTCTCGTTCCATAGACGTCTTACTTTTATTCCCTGACGGAATCCCTTGTCTTTCACAAACATTGCCTAAACCTGTCAGAGAACTGCCACAAGTAAAAAAGCGTAAAACTTTATTTATGATCGGTTATTGTAAGGTACAGTATACGAAATGTGTAAAAATATAATGTTAATCGTTAATAGCTTAATTTCAAATGTTAATCAAACTCACATTATAAGGTAAAATGTGCAGGATCTGTAATATTTGAAGTACGAGATCAAAATGGAAACATTATAGAAACAGCTAATAATTCAGCAGGTACTTTTTTTTTAAATTAAATTTTAGATCATTTTCATTCGAAATATCTTTTTAGGTATATATTCTGCATTGCAAGATATACCAGATAACCAGAAACCCGTTGTTCGCGTAACTATATATGAAAATGTGGGAATGAGGATGTCTATCAAATGTCCAGGGTACAATTTTAATAAAAAATATAAATTAAATTAAAAGTTCTCATAATTTAGCAAACTTTATAATTTTAGCTATTTGGATGCTGATTTGCCTATAAAATGGAAAATTGGCTCGAAAATATTAATTGCTGATACAATCAAAGAACAATCTAGTGGAAGAATACAAATTAATGCAAATAATCACATCATAATAAAAGGCACTCGAATAGTAGATTCACATATTTATAGGTAACTGCATATTTATTAAAACAGGTAGACTTTAATATTATTATTAACTCCATTGCAGTTGTTGGCAAGATGATGAGCTTATGGGGACAGTAAGAATAGTCATCAATAAGAAATTTCGATTAGAAAATGATAAACATATAGTTCTGTTCGGTTCAGCCCTAATAGCATGTACTTTTTTATATATATATTGTAAAGCATATTACGGAAGAAAACGTAAATTGTACCATCTTTCATAAATAATGAAATAAATTTTATATATTAGAATACATAAATTAGAAGATAAAAAATAAAAATGATAAAAAATTATAAGGATGTAATAATGAATGTAAATAGAGAAAGTAATAAGTAACCGCAATTACTACAACTTTCATTATTGAAATAATTATTTATATATTTAACTAATAAGAAGTTAAATATATTAATTTAAAACTCAATAAATATGTTGTAATGAAGATTATTAACTAATAATCCATACTGAGTATAAAATAAAACTTTATAAATTACAAACAATCAGAAGTATAAAATTAAAGAACGGAATATATATTAAATTACTGACCTGAACTTCTTTGTCAGTTCTTTGGCTTGGGGGCACCATTTCTGGTGTTAGGGTTTGTGGTGGTTCCTTTCCAGCTAGCTTCTGTTCAATTAGCCACATTGCTAAGGCAAATTGTTCTTCGGTCAACTTTCCTGCCTGATTGGTATCACACAAACTCCTAAAAACAAACATCATTTAGTGCCTCAATAAATGTAAATAAAATGTCTAGATAAAATTTACTGACCATATATGTGCAAGACACAATTGAGGTACTCCAGTTCTTAAGAAAACATCACGCACTTCTGCTCCAGTTACTAACCCGTCTTTATTAGCATCACATTGATGGAAAAGAATATCTGACTTTTGCTTATCTTCTGGAGTCACCACCCATGGTAAAGATGCTGGTTTGATAGGCTATTAACAAAAATACAATATTAAAAAATGATTTTACGATTACTGGTATAAATGTAAGAAGTTTAAGATTAATGTAAGACCTGTATCAATTGTTCAGAAATTATCGTTGGAGCAACTGGCATTTCCTGTACTGCTGGCATGTCAGAAAAGTTAGCAAATTCCTCAACTTGAACCGGTTGATCCTGTGGCTTTGGTAAAAGTTCTGGAGGTAGACTTGCAGGTATAGCATGCTTTTCTAAGGCCTTGTATACTAAATGCATTGCCTAAAAGTAATTGAAAGTTGAAACTGAAAATATTTAATATTGCAAAAATTTCCTTACCACAATGAATTCATGTCTATCTAACATTCCATCCTTGTCATGATCAGCTAAGTCCCAAATTCTACCTAAGGTCTCAACCGGAAGTTTTGAATCCATAAGAACACCTTTCACCTACAAAAACAATTTTGCGTGAATAAATATTATATTTGTTTATTTGTATAATTGTTTTACCTTTTGTCCTGGAATCATCCCATTTATTGGTTGTAATGATTCAAACAATTGGTTATATTTTACTCTTTCAGCTGGTTTTATTGTCCAATCAATTAAAGCAGGTGATGTAGAAGGAATAATGGGAGGAATTTTAGGTGAACTTGGTGGTCTGGGAGGTTGTGTTGGCAGTTTTGGTACATCACCCTGGAAAATTATTTCATATAGAGCAGAACTTTATAATGTAAATTCCACGAAAGTAAGTTTTTACTTACAACTTTTGGTGCTGGACTTTCCATCATAATATTTCTTATATTTACATCAAAGCCAGCTTGAGCTAAGGATACCATTTTTAAAGCAACATAGAAACCTGATTTGTCGAGAAATCCTTTGCTCCCTGTATCTGATATATCCCAAACCTAATATAAAATATTTTAATTTATAAAAAATAAAGATCACTAGTAAATACATTTGTGTATTTATATACTCACTCTACTTAGTACAACATCACTCAAACCAGATTTTTTAAGAAATTGGGCAGCTACATTTGCACCTATCACTCCAGTACCTTTTGGATCAATCTAAAATAATGTTAACAAAAATGACCCTTTAATAATGTTTAACAATGTAAATTAACTCTTAATGATAAAGTAATCACTCAACAACGAAGATAACTGATAATACAACTGATAATAATTTAAATTTAAAGGTTGATCACTTATTGATTTTTGTTATGCTGAATATTTGTATATAATTATTAATATTTACCTTATGATAATATGCCTCATAAATGGCACCATGGCATCCAGCCACCTATAACGAATCAACAAGTATAGTAAAATTACTAAAAATCAATAGGCTGATATGGAAATATTGATAATGGCAATCGTTCTGATGACGTCCAAAGACGCATATATTTATAACTCAGCATGCATTATAGATTATTTTTGTGCAATTATTTAATTAAAATAAGT